CATTGTCAAGCTTGTGAGTTACTGCACACTTTTTTGTAATATTATATATAAAAATAGATCATCTATAATACTGTACAATAGTTAAAACCATGAGCTGCGATTATCATTTTAGAATAAGTTAGCAACTTCCAAAGAAATAATTTGGTGATCTCTACTGGGGCATTGTATTCAACTGTTTGATATGCCATGACTACTTACCAACACTCAGCTGGTAACAATATAAAGAATTAGTCCTTCTCTAACACACCATTGACTTGCCATTAAATAGCATTAGATATATTCATGGCAGTGACTGGAAACACTACCTGTTACATATTGGATCTTGAGCTATATATTTATAGCTTTTGTGCACGTAGAACTTGAGCTGTGTTGCCAAAACTCTTTGAAGAAGAAGTCTATTGTTTTGCTGTGTAAAATTGTACATTTGTTCTGATCAGATTCTCTGACACCAGAAACTTTCATTTAAAATGGTTTATAAACACTTTTTGTATAACCATGACAGTTAAAGGAACACTATAGAGTCGGAATCCAAATATGTATTCCTAACACTATAGTATCCTACTCAGTGCTAGGCGACCAGTCCCATAGTGACCAGACCGTTTTTTCAATTTTCTTACCGTTAAGGACCAGGGCTGTTTTAATTTCTGTTGTGTTTGTGTTTAGCTGTAATTTTCCTTACTCATTTACTGTACCCACTCATATACCGTTTTTCTCGCCATTAAATGGTCTTTCTAAAGATACCATTATTTTTTATATATTTACTATAAAAAATTTATGATAAATTAAAAAAAAACAAAAAAAACTACCTTTTCTAACTTTGACCCCCAAAATATGTTGCGCATCTACAACCGCCAAAAAACACCCGTCCTAAAAGGTTTTTAAAAATTTTGTCCTGAGTTTACAAATACCCAATGTTAACATGTTCTTAGGATTTTTTGCAAGTTATAGGGCTATAAGTACAAGTAGGACAAAATATCTTTTCAAAATTTATCAATAGTGACAATGTAACACATTTTTCATAAATCTCTGAATAACACCTCACATGTACATATTTTTTTTATTTTTTTTAAGTATTCAATATGTCCAGTCTTTTTTAGTAGCCACTTAGTCGCAAACACTGGCCAACGGTAGCATTTATATTTGTGTGTTAAAAATGCTAAATACAATTATGAATGCTAACTTTGGACAGTGTTTGTGACTAAGTGGCTACTAAAAAAGACTGAACATACCCCATTTGCAATACCTTGGGTTGTCTTCTTTTTGCAAATGGTATGCAATCATGGGGGTAATTCTCATTCCTGGGCTACCATACGCTCTCAAAGGCAACATAACCAATCTGGCAAATTTCAATGTGAAAAAATGGAAAATCAAGTCTTATATTTGACCCTGTAACTTCAAAAGCACTATAAAACCTGTACATGGGATTATGGTTATACTCTGGAGACTTCACTGAACACAAACATTAGTGTTTCAAAACAGTAAAACGTATCACAACAATGATATCGTCAATGAAAGTGCTGTTTGTGTATGAAAAATGCAAAAAAATCTTCACTTTCACTGACAACATAATCGCTGATATGTTTTACTGTTTTGAAAAACTGTTCAGTGAAGTCTCCCGAGTATAACAATACCCCCCATGTACAGGTTTGATGGTGTTTGCTGGGTCTATGTTGCCTCTTGAGACCATATGTATGGTAGCCCAGGAATGTGAATTAACCCAATCATGGTATACAATTTGTAAATGTAGACAACCCAGGGTATTCAAAATGGGGTACATTCAGTCTTTTGTAGTAGCCA